GTACAGAATAATCATGGTTTATCGGAGCTGTTGTCGTCCATCGTTTCATCCAATACGATGTGGTCATCCCCACGAGCACCGATTAAAATCAGCTGTTTGTCGCGATTACTCCATCAATAATCGTATGGGGCCTGGTTGCTGACTTTTCTGTCTCCGTATGCGCTGGTATCTTTTTCTAACCGGTTTAGCTTTAGACTCGTGATAGCAAAGCTTTCTCTCATCACACACATTCACTTACGGATGAGATTCTCTCTGTCACACACAGAGCACATTTTTTTAATGTCCCGTCCTTTCAGGTCCCTCAACTCGAGTTCACCACGTCTCTTTAGTGCTGCTGTCTGATCGTCTACTAGTGCACTCACATAGTCGATTCGGTCGCCTACCGGCAAAATAAACTATCTCGTCTACCTTTGCGCGTTTAGCTTGTGGCAAAGAACATTAGAACATTACTGTGTACTGTTGGTTTGCTTGTGCGTCCGTACTCCCACACACACACACACCCTGAGCAATCAACTTCGTCCGTATGTGTGTGTAAATATCCACAGTGCCATCGATTACCACGCAGCGGTGAGTGCCATTTCGGGGGCACTTGCGACGGTCCATTTTTTTAAGACGCAACGTGGTACCGACAAGTTGTGCATCATGGTGGAACACACATTTAGTTGGCATAATAATTCATACTTCAATCGTGGTGCCGATTTGATTCTTCGCTCAGCAGCACACCTTCATCCACAACATGTCGGTAGTGGTTGCTTTGTGCACTTCGTGTCTAACGATCCGTGATTTCTTTGATTTCATCACAACTGCTCGTTTCCCCCATACTACTCACTAGTAGTGCGCCGCAATACCTTGCGTGTCGTCATTTCACCTCTGACACATTGGTGAATCCTGTTCACGGAGCCAAGGGCGATGGATCTAGTATCCCAGTAATCCTGTCGCTGTGAAAGCGAGAACAGTTTGCCGCAGTTGATGAAAATCGAAAACAATAGGAACGCGATCGAGCAGGCGCTGAAGTTCCTTGTGAGGCCGTCTCGTGGAAGAATCGGCCGACTAAGTTAGATCGCTTAGTTTATCAGTCCTGTTGTTTTGTGTTTGCAGCACATGTGAACGAATTTTCGGTTGCTGCTGCGGCCAACTCAGTGAACTTCACTTCCAAAGACCATATGCACCCGTCCCAATTTACCCTTCCTTTTTGTTTCTGTCTTTTTGGAAGTTTATCGGTCTAACTTAACCAGGGTTGGTATCGGCCTACATTATGCACCGATGCTGGGATTCGCCAGGTGTCCGACAAACGTGAAAAAATCGGCATGGACCGTTCAAATTCACCAGACAATCCAGAAAGCCCCAGCGAGTTTGTTACCAAGCCTCAGTCTATTGTCCGCCGCGATGGTCGTTTAGCATACATATTACCTGTGTGTTATCTACACCCCAACACAGATGGCAACACGTATTGCACTGTCAACCAGGAAGCCTTAACATTGTCCGAACCCGTAGCCACGCAGCATTTCTTACTGTCTACAAGATCTGAGGCGAACCAAAGCGGACCATGGCACGTATCGTATCACGGATAGTTCTTCTCTGTCATGGGCGAAACACGATGACGACCTGCTAATTACTGCATATACCACTCTATCACCACTGTTTGCTTCAAGGAAGAACTACCTCTTGTCTGGAAATTGACAACTGTTGTTCCTACCGTGAAGGTCATCGTGGCATCAGTTTCATCTCACTCGTTTTTGTGGCCCACTCGTCCTCGGGGGATCCTATCCACTCGTGTCTGACTGGTTCCCATTCCGCTGCTTAGAGCTTTTCCACGGGCTTCGACTTTTATGGTGAACTTGAAAACTGCCTGTGCTTCGTTTACTGGCTTTGTTTCTGGCAATCTCTGTCTTTGAAAGATGTGCTTGCGAATTTTGTATTCCAAACGCTTTGGAAATGCTCACAAGTTTTTTTTCTTTCTGTTAAGTGATCGAGTGGCGTACTTGATTGAGCGAATGACAGCTCACGTTAGCTCGGAGCTAGGTGCAGTGGAAGCACTGTAGAGTGAGATAATGTAAGCGACCTAGTTGCTTCACACTTCAAGTTCAAAGCCGGTTTACTCATCCAGGTGGTCGTATCATCATCTGGTTACTACATTGTTTGGTGACGCTCGTGTGGCTTTTCAAAGCCTTATTAGAGTCTGAGTTCTGTTGGTGCTTTCCATCTTGGGTGGACACACTATCGAATATGGCGCATGCACGTAGTCACTCGCTCTTCACCTACCATTTGCTCTTCACTACTCTGTCTTGCGATTTTTTGTGTGTATTTTATCCGGAATTGATTATTGTTGTTGTTGTTGTTATTATTATTATTATTATTATTATTATTATTATAGATATGGGAGCCAGAGAAATCGAATGCACTAAGGTTCAGCATATGGGCCGCGGTGAATCACTGAAATGAAGTGCTTATTCCCTCTCCATGGCTGCTTCAAGATTAGGAAACTGCACGGTCACTATCTACTCCGTCACTATGAACAACACAGCAATCGTATGCAGTACATTACTCACCTATAGTTGCGGCGATAATAAGAATACCGAAGCGTGCTGCTTTTGCGTGGGGGTTGTGCCTGATCGTCCTTTCGCCCATTTCTTTTGTTAACCGACTAGCAACATGAATGTGTATCTCAGAAGCGATTGCTCCCCTACAGTCGTTCGCGATTTTTTTCCATCAGTCGCTTTGGGGATTTCAATGAACAGCTTTCCATAGCCTGTTGCATGGACCCGGGGGTCATGGTAGGGAGCATTTACGTTCGAAAGACTTTTCCAGGTGGTAGTCAATACGGCAGACAGGTTAGTAAGGATCACACTCGTCTGTTTAGGATGACTACTCTACACCTAACGGAGCGTTCATGTTCTCTCTGCCTCGACTTTCACTGATTTGGCTTGCCAAAAGACCATGGGGTTGCCGAACAATGATTCATCTTAAAGATTATTGGTGGTTTTTTGAGTAGTGTAATTTTTTGTAGAAAGTAGAAGCCCCGATTAAAGAGTTGGGAAAATCGCGCACAATCCCCCTCTGGACTTCTCTTGATGACCTTTATACCGGCCGACCACTTTGTTGACCATTTTTGTCATGATGCCAGAACTTCGGTGAATTATCTATTTTGTGGTTGGCAGCCTACATTTCAGCGGCGCTGACAGCTGCCACTTGTTGGTCAATTTGACACCGTATCATTCTTCCACTTTTGACGTTCATTATTGCCCACTTGTTCGGCGAGGACGCTTTGTAATCGTATTCCTACCCTTGAGACCGTTAACGCCACTGCAGCACAGTGACTTCATTAGTCGTCCTAGTTTCACACCATCGTGCACTCCTTCTACCCCTGTTTCCTTCTCTCCATTTCTGCTTTCGGTCTTGATTACCACCACAGTGACTGTGTCGTTATGCACCCTCGACACCATTCTATGACCACTTGTACCGTTTCATGTGCATGTTCAAATGTCCACTTGACCGGTTTTTTATTCCATTCTGTACACTGTCTTCACGTTCCACTCGCTATCTGCGGACGATGTTTATCTCTCCGTTCCCCCCCCCTCATCCCTGCTCATCATTATTCACCAACTGTGCACGCGTGGCTTCTCTTCTTTTTCTCATTTTATGACCTTTGTTTCGGGTGGATGTGGCCCCAGATCCATGTCCTTAAAACCCCCTGAGCGGTGTTCACGTTCCATCGCATGTTTAACAGCCTTGGAGTATTTTAAGTTCAGTCACTGTTCACTCCTCCATTTCCATTGCATTGGTGCCAACTAGGGACACGCATTGTGTCCTTCCTACTGGTGCAATCGATTCCGGCGGTTTGTATGAATGCGACTGCTTTTGTTTGTTTTGTTGACATGTGATCCACTCGGTTACTTGATTGGCACTACTAGAATGTTTATGCTGTTCTGTCACTGTGCCGTTAGCACCTTTACTCCTGATGATATATGCTTTGACTGAAGTGCTCTTTTGGCATCTAATGCGAAACTGTTCTCCCCCTCATACTCTCTGGCTATTGCTATGCACTAAAATTTATTAGTGGCTTGTTGTCATTGTCCACCCATCTCTGCGTATGCTTCTTAACCTGCTGCCACAGCTGACTGACCTTCCCATTGACGGGCGAATCTTATCGGTGAGCCTCCACGCTATCATACCATTATTCGCCACCGTGTGTGATCTGGGACCCCTTTGTGAATTGCTTCCCAGTTGCAAGCTGTGCATTTGAGTTACTGATCGCTGAGCTCCACTCAGAGCATTTTCCTAGTCCTGCGGCACACATCAACCAATTGATCACTTTGTCAACTATTTCGCAACGAACGGTTCCACTATTGTCCATTCGCCTCACTCTCTATTTTCATCGTCTCCTGTTCCCAGATGCTAGTCGCAGCTACTCGGGACTTCTCTCATGGGCTGTGGTTGTTCCCAGTTGCTTCGTTTATCCATATCTATGCGTTCTTGATACTGAAAAGGGGACTGTCATTGCTCTGGCAACGTGGATGCAACTGCGGTGTGTCGATTGCTCCCGGTGTCGATTGCGCCGGTGGTATGCTTGCTTTTGCTCCTTTCTTTCCTTTACTGTCGTGATCTTTGAGACAACCCTCATCAGGAGGCTGGTCAGTGGAAGCTGCAATAAATCTGTTTCACCTATGCCGCCACACTTTCACACTGCTCACCATGTGTATACTACATTGTTGGTGTCATGGATGTCAACGATCATGACGCTCAGTGATAAATACCCAATCTGAGCTGCGCATCCACTAACATGCAATGATTTGTTGTCTTTTACCACAGTTCATCAGAAACGGGCGTGTAAAACGGTCATTCACCCATGGGTTATTTTTCGTCTTCATACATTTACGGGAAGTGCCATCTGTTGTTTCAGCTGACCTAAGGTTGTGATCGTTTTAACTAGACAAAGCGCACCGCATGTTTGATTCCCCACATTGTCCGATTTTCTGTGTCACAATACTCTTCTCTCCTATATGACCGCTTTTGAGCTCCGATCTTCCGTCTTGCTGGGCGCCTACGAATTTACCCTATCACTACGTACCACTGATCGGCCGTCTATCCACATGCACCGTGTAATTAATTCGCCAAGTAGAACACTTGACAAAACCATGTATTGATTTTGCCCATTTCCGCCCCCCCTTCTCCTTCAGGTTGGGAATGGGATGCCAATTTGCGCCCATCCTTTTATGAGATTCACGCTGAACTGGACCGCATGTATGCAACGGTAAACATTGAAGCTGGTGAGTGTGTCTGTCTTTTTCGCTGCTTCTTCCTAACCCTGTCCCATCCTATCTTTCCTCTATAATCCTCTTTGACAGAACCTGAGTTTACCTGCTGCTATCAGCTTTTTCGCTTTCATCGGTAAAACCACCGGGCTGCCTGTTCTACCTATCCCATTCTCTATGGAAAACATTTATTTCACCAACTCTTATCAACCCGTAGCGTAAAGGTAACAAGGTGGTCTTGTAATCTGACGGCGCGGGTTCGAGCCTGCGTAGGGACCGGGCGACCCTCACAGTATCCTTAGTCCACGTGCGACCGGTGATGGTTGTGCGGCAGCGAAACGTCGGTACTGCGTGCCGGCGTGTAATGACCTAGAGATTCCCCCGTACGACTGTGTAAACTATGCTAAAATATATTAAAATTATAGCTTTCTTATGTATTAGGGAATTAGGCGGTTTGCCTGTTGGAACGTTGTTCCCGTTTGTTTGAAACACGAGCACGATATCTGCCCTTTGGCCCGCGCGACTCGACTGCGAACGACGCTCCGTCCACGCGCTCGACGCCCAACTACCTCCTCACTAGCTAGCTCTCTGCTGGTGCCCTATTTTTAGCATTAGCTAACTCTTCTCCCATCTAATAAACCTTTTCCCTTTCTTACTTTTTGGTGTTCTACACATTGCTTTTGGTTGGCCGTCTAATCTCGTACCGGATATATAGCGTACGATCATCGCGCAATAGGCGTACTGCTAGTATCTTACTTTTTATCAACTTTCCACCCCACGGTATTTAGTGCTCGCTTTCGTTCTCTCTCCTACAGACAATTTCCTTGCTTTGAAGGCTGCCTTTAAGTTTGCTTGTGGAGGTTTGTGCGTCTACATAACTTTTAAGAGCGTTCCTGAAATGTAACTTACTATTCTAAACTATTTATTTCACAACTTTCGCAGCCGTTGTAGAGTCTCCAGGGAACTTGCCCCTGAATTCTGCATGACTAGTTGAACGAGTCAAAACTACCCTCTCTACCCATTTCGGTTTGGCTTCGTGTTCTTAATGACTATGACCATTTGTCTGCTGCTTTTTTTTCTCACTTCCCTTGTGGTGAAGGTTCTGTTTTGTGGCCTCGATTATCGTTCGTCGCCTCGTTGTGGAACGGGAATTTCGGATTATGGAAGAGCAGGCCGGTTTTCGCCCAGGACGTGGCTGTATAGACCATATATTTACTTTGCGGCAGGTGCTAGAGCAGCGGCACGCATACCACAGACCGAGAATAGCTGTGTTCCTCGATTTTAAGAGTGCGTTTGATTCGGTCGATCGATCGATTCTGTTCGAATTACTTGCGCGAAAAGGTGTTCCCACGAAATATGTGAACATCCTTCGTGCTCTATACTCGAACACTACAGGTCGCATCAGGGTCTATGGTGTCCTATCGGATAGCTTTTCGACTACAAGTGGCGTTCGTCAGGGTTGTCCGATTTCCCCGTTTTTGTTCAATTTCGTCGTGGATTCTATCATGGAGTGTTCCCTTGCGAAATCTCACGATGTAGGCGTTGAAATGCTGCCTGGTGAAAGGTTAGTTGACCTAGATTATGCGGACGATATCGTCTTGCTTTTCGACGATGTTGGGGCGGCACAATCAACCCTGGATAGCCTGTCCAGAGTGGTCCCATTATTTGGTATACACTTCGCACCTTCAAAGTGCAAAGTGTTGCTGCAGGACTATCAGCCACTTGATGACTGCTTAACGCTTGCTAACGAGGAACTCGAGGTGGTTGATCATTTCACTTATCTTGGCAGCTGCATCAACAAGGATGGGCGCATAGAAATTGACGTGAGCTCACGCATTGCAAAGGCCAGAGCTGCCTTCTTGAACCTGCGGCATCTTTGGCGACAGAAGGGAGTTTCCCTCCGTCTGAAAGGCCGTGTATACAAGGCCACAGTGAGGGCCGTTCTGCTCTATGGTAGTGAAACTTGGCCGCTTCGGTCTGAAGATCTGAGGCGCCTTCAAGTCTTTGATCATCGTTGTTTGCGAAGCATTGCTGGTGTCGGATGGCACCAGTGTGTCCGCAACGATGATGTGCGTAGGCGAGTACTAGGTGGTGATAATCATGCTAGCTCCCTAGAACAACAGATAGCACTGAATAAGTTGTGTTGGCTCGGGCATGTGCTACATATGCCTGGCCACCGCTTACCTAGGAGGGCCTTGTCCAGTCTACCAGGTGTAGGTTGGCGCAAGGCTCGAGGTGGACAGAAGTTGACTTGGCAGCGGGAAATGAAGTCACTGACGACCAAACTTGGTGCCGTTGGTCCGTCTCGCCTTCCGGGTTGGAGTCCACGTGACTCACCTTGTGCTTGGCTCGAGACTTTACAGGACATGGCTCGCAGTAGACACCAGTGGCGCGTCTGCTGCCGTATCCTAATCACATCGCCTGTTTAAGGAAGGTTTGGTGCTGAGTTATCTGCGGGGTGATGGCTGATTATGACGCGTGGCAGTGAAAGCCGCAAGGAAGCTGTCTCGCCGATGCCGCCTTATCTTTGCACGATAGCCAGCTGTTTGTGACGGTATGTTGTCTACACAAGGTGTAGGCGCCTTGACCCTGAATGTTTGCTTAGGGCATTAAGGTTTTCAGGTAAGTCCCCCTTTCTCTCCCTCTTATTCTTTATTTCATAGGTCGTCATGGTTGTATGGCAGCGAAACATCAGTTCAAATGGCTGATGTACTGCTGTTGATGATTTTGATGGTGTGGCCAATTGTCTATACATAGTTCTCTTTGAGCCGGACTCAGCTGATGCACAAGAACTATGGGATAGGCTGATGCGTCGTGCTTCGGTATGCCTTGGCCGGTGGCGAAACCATTAAGGCGCATGCCTTGTACTCCAGAGGTCATCGGTTCTAATCTGCGCAGATGCGGGCAACCTCAGCGTATACTCCTTCTATTCTCAACTGGTGATGGTCCCGTGGCAGGGAACAGTCGGTACCGGCGTTATTGGTAATTCCTCTTGCCTTAGGCCTTTCGCTCGGGATACTCTTATTGCACCGGTTCGACCATAGGCCAACTGCTGAAATTGTCGCTCGGTTCACTTACCTGGGTATGCGTGTCACCTAAGAAGTCTCTGGACGCATTACTACGACTGTCGTGTTTTTCAAAAGAGGCAGTGATATACACGTGTAGGCTTAGAGAGTGGGTTACACAAAGCGACCACACGACTAGTGTTGTTGTATCCCTTCGAGATCTGGCCTCTCCGAGCTGAGGCGGTTAAGAGACCGATTTTGTTTGACCATCGATGACTGCACGCTGTTACTACTGCATGGTAAGAGAAGTGGCTAGGTATTGTCGTATTTTGCCATTCATTACTTCGACATAGGCTCTACAATGCCTCCTTCATATGCTTGTTAAACAGAAATCGCCTCTACTTTCCCGGTGATGCCAGTCAACCGGCTGCTTCACTGTTTTATCTGTCAATGCCGCGCCTAATTGCATGAAATCTCCTGGTGACCAATCAATCAAAGTCCTCGGGATCAATGATAAGGCGTTATCACGATCTTGCATCTTTTGTAACTTGTAACCATTTCGTCTGACGGATTTATTTCTTGGCTTATCATCATGGACTGTTATTTTACTCCCTCCTCAGTGTGGCAGTGTGTACCAACGCAGCTACATCCATCGCCAGTCGATGTGTGGATCACGTTTGACAAGCTGAACGAAACCCTCGGTGTTGTTACGCACATCACACAAACGTCTGAGGCGTTCTGGGAGTGCCTTTGCCGTGGACTTCTCGTCAAACGTGCTTTTATATATATATATATATATATATATATATATATATATATATATATATATATATATATATATATATATATATATATATCAGTCCATGAATAGACAAATAGCCATAAAAACCATGGAAATCAAAAGAAGATACAGCCGTCATAAACAGGAAACCGAACACAGCACATGATTTCGTCAGAGGGCGAGACACTGCCCGGTTACCCAAATCGAAGTTGGATGTAGACTTTTAGGAGACCACCCTGAGCCTTTGGCCAAATGGCTTGCCCGCAAGGCAGCTGTGCGGCGAATTCAGGGAATCACGCCCATTGGCAGCCGATGACTGGTTGATAAGTGCATTCCTTTTTCCTTTGTTTGGTTGACATACAGGAGCCCTATCCTCCCCACAATTTGAGCTTCGCGTTGCTGCATACAATGCTCCATGAGTCATATCCGCCACGTCGAAATGTTGCTCAATGGACATATGTGGGTTTTTATGGGGAGAACGCTTAGCAGTCGAAAATCCACCACGTTCTGCAACCGTGTCATTTGACCGTTTGACCGTCGTTTGACATTATTCTCATTTATTTTCAGTTTTACACATGTTTCACATCTCTCATTCAGCTCTTCATGCTGCTAGGCGAATGACCTTTGTGTCGTTGACACTGATCTCTTTCTTTGTTTCCTAACCTCTTCCTCATCCATGTTTATCGCACATAGACTCCGCTGCTTTTCTTTGGCCTGTATCGATTTTATGCGCGTACAGGCATCCATGTACCACACAAATTTTTTCACCCACTTCCTGTCAATCACGGCTCTCTGCGCGTCTTTCACGAACATCACTTTATCGAACCAATTTCACACAACCCTTGGTTGATTTTCGCGCGCAATCGCTCTCCTTTCCATTGATCGTTAGCTTGTATGTGTTCTTCTTTGACGGACAGTTATCGTGTTTGGTGTCCGGGTAGGTAAACGTTCGCTCCTAATTAGGTGTTGGTTTGTCGTTCTGAAAGTTTGTTGTTTTCAAGGCCTTCCATCCACTTTCCGTTTCCCTCATTTATTGGTTGATCTATTCGGTCTGTTCATTTTCTCATTATTCCCATGTTTTCCACACTTTGATTCGTAGAAGTTGCCCGAGAGCTGGAACGGAATCGTTCTAACAATCCCCCGTTATCATTTTCAATGCATCATCCGAACCAAAGCGTACCGACTCAACCGGTTGCATCATCACAAAGGATCATCCACTTCAACTGCGCGGATCCAACAGTCCAGTGGCATCCGAACAACATCTTTTCGGATGTACGACAGCCCGCGGATTCCAAGTGTATCCCATCGAATCTGAATCACTTTTCGCATTTACACAATCCTTGGATTGGTCCACATCTTGAATACCCAATTTCCGGATCCGGATTTGTTAGTTCAGCATGCGTGTCTTCTGTTGTCACTTCTGTTGCCGCTTCTGGTGGTCGCGATGGTGCTTTCCAAGCATTCACAGATCAGCGGCTTATGACAACTTGTGACGACCGTGTCAAGCAAACTGAGGTGGATGACGATGCTGACGTTGGCGTGGCAGAGCAAAATGATGACGACGCGGAAGAAACGGCAGGATTTGAGGAAAGCGATGAAGAAAGTCCTGGTCTCTGGTCTCCGCCACATTTTCAATTCGTCGCTCGTGCTGATGAAGCTGTCGGCACTCAGCAACAAACAGCCATGGAATCCTCTGTTCATGTGAATTCCACCGAGTCCAAAGACACTCGTAACGCGAACTACGCAGGAGGTATATCTGACGTGCTTGCCATTTGCTATGTTTTACTGTTTTCGTTGGAGACTGATCACTGACGTTGTAGCACTTTTGACATGATTGCCTACCAGGGCTATCTGGTCCCATGGATGAAGTACTCGCGTAAAAATCAGACATTTACGGAAAAATGAAATACTCAGCGCCTAAATGCACACCTATTGTGGCTAAATTTTTGCTTTGGCTTTCTTATCTTTAGCCCAAAATGTATCTGTTCAAATCTGCATAGCTGCAGGCGACCTAGCAGCCTGCACGCGGCAGGAGGCAGTCGCGTGGCATTGGAGCCTTAGCACCACATACTATAGATGCCTTACGTTACCGCTGGTGGAGTGGTCCAAAAATCCAGCTCACAATCCACAGTCCACCGGTTAAAGTTTGCTTGGATGTTGGCCACTTCTGAGTATCCTCCACTCAAATGTAACCACTGGTGCTTCCTTGGCAACGAAGCGCCGCTGCCAATTTCCGGTTTGCCGCTGAATCCAAAGCGTTGCTCACGGATCTCAGTGGCATAGTGCTTATGTTGTCAAACATGAGCCACTAGGCTCTGAGTTCCAGCCCAACTCAGGCTATCTCCAACTGATGAGTCCCAACCAGGACGAAACCGCGGTCTTGGGGTGCCAGTGTTGGGGTGAGCAACACCATAATATTTTCATTTTGCCGCTGAATCCTTTTTCTTGACACAATCTCCAATGTACAGGTCTCCAGTTCTTCACATCTGGTTTAGCTACTTGTCTCGGTATATTGAAGGGGTTATGTCTGCTCACAGATGCGCCCGCTGTTCCTCTGCATTGCCATATTTTTCAGACATTCGCACTTGCTCCACTTCCGGTGAAACGCCAAACAATTCCCTTGCTGAAGTTTCCAACAGTTTGGCCGCCACACAGAGTCAGCGCTACGGCATACCATTCACAGCTGTTGTACACAGCGGAGAAAATCACGCTTTGGGCAGAATTCCCGTGCCCACGTCCAACGACGTTCTGCCCAGACAACAGGCGGTAACTTATCCCTCTGTATCTAAACCTCAGACCTCCTCAGTAACTTCGGGTCAAGTTTGCAAGTCAAAGGGCTCCACTCCGAAAGGATCCACCCGCACTGGTCGAGCGCATCGCCGGTGCCCTGATGGCAGTCGCGCGCGTCACTCAAACGGCTTGCAACAGAGTACGTTTTCACGTTTGCCCGGTGTGTTCTTAGCCTACTCCTGTGCGCTGGTCTGTGAACTCACATTTATGTATTTCTTTCATTTCACTAAATTGCGTTTTGTTTTCGTCTGTGTTTCACGATTCAGCAACTCTCTGACTCACTTGTTAGACGGTTGTGAATTTTACCCATCTTTCTCAATCTCGCTGTCCAATAGATAGGCTACTGGTTGACCTGGACATTTCTTTGGTGAGCTTTCCGAGTCACCAGCAAGACTCGGGTAGAATTTTGACAAACAACCGGTGAATTACCGACTGGCCATAGCATCTTTCTCCGATCTACTGTTAGTGCTGTGAGCTTTTCGATAAGGCATGAGCTTCTTTACGTCTATTTTAGTACTGTGGTTGTTTTTTGCCTTCTGTTCTGCTCTGCAGCCGGAGAAGAGATTCTGTCTCATCTACAGCTGCTCCGTCAGTGACAAAGTTGGCCCTCATCAGTGCGTCTCCAGTGTTTCCGCGCGTTGCTATTGAAAGTCACAACTACTTTAAGTTGGTTGGAATACGCTTCTCAGAAAGATGAATCAGTCTACCTCACATATTTTTACACTTTAAGCCACACTCTGCCACTCACTCGTTCTTATACATCACATCCACTCGATCCGAATCTCGAGATGAGCTAGCCAGCCATCCATCTTTTCGCAGCTGAATTCCTATTGTTTATTTCATATGTTTAATGAAGCGATTGATGGGACCATGGTTTTGGGGCCGAATGCCGTCTCATTCAACCGATTATGACACCTGGTTACCCTCGTACGCGTCTGTGAAATAGCGGAAATAACATATATGGGATGATTAGGGATGGAGCAACGCAACCAAACGAAAGCATCCGTTGGATTTGCACCAGCAACGCCGTCAGAATTGATGGGGTTCAGTTAAACATGTCTGATCACATCACCAAGCTGCACTGGATGATCCATTTGCTCTTGCTCTCATCGATGCACTCAACACGGTAGATGAAATGAGGTAAACACGAGTAGAATGCAACCATAACAGGGCCAGAAAATGGTGGGTAAACTCAATCCTATTTGAAAATTACCGAAGCGCGCCAGGTTAGCAATTGTCGCCAATGTCTAATGTGGCTGACCCGAAGGCCCTCTGTCCGCAGAAGTGGCACGCGCTAAGACTCTTAGTCAACTCATTCATACCCTTTAGCTAAACCATCGTTTGGTTACACCGTCATTTCACCCAAATAGGTTATCTAATAGCAAATTGTGTTCACTGAGGGGTCAAGCAACGAACATATGCAGTTCATGATTTGAGTAACGTAGGCGGCTAACATTTATCCACCACTGCAATCTACTATCAGAACGGGTTGCACCAAGGTGGGGTAGTGTGGCACAAACGGTTCAACGGCCTATCGTAAAAAAATTATTCATTTACTACAGCTACAGGTGTAACACGGAAGACCCAACATCCGGAAATAACTAGGGGACACAGCATGCAAATGAGCTGTATCGACATATATGAATGTTCGCTATTTCATTAAACAGATTTCCGCACCGCTTGGGCCCCTGCTCAACACAAACGAACTGACTGACCTCGTTATTCCCTATTTGGGGCTCCCGCTAACCATGCTGCGCAGGCGCCGCCGGTGATCAATGTTAGTCAGCACTTGGATGACTTTGATTCGTTGCTAATGGAACCCCCCCCCCATCAATGCGACTATCTTTTGGTCACTCTTTTTCATACATTTTTGTCGGCATCCACCACAACGAAACTCAATCGTAACATGGTCTGATGGTTTACACGTCCGCTGGATCTATTGAGCTAAGCTGCGTAGCTCTTTCCATTTACCTTCCTACCTGCATACACGGGCCAGCATTGTTACACAAACTCAGTTTTATCATGTCCCTTTAAAACTTACTCTTGAGATACAACAGGTTACGTGCGTTGTCCTGACAGTAGGAGAGCACTACTGTTCTCTAATGGTTTTCTGTCTCAGGGCGGGTCCAGAAGTTCAACATCGCCGGTTCCTGCTTGCGGTTTACTGTTGTTGCCATTGCACAGTGTACTTTCGGAGGATATGCGCATACTTTTGTAAATCATCAAACCTGCGTGCAGTAGGCATCAGATAGCCCCTAGTGGAATTCTGAGGTCATACTTACGACCTTGGCATACTCTCCCACTGCCTCGTCGATCTAACTGTTAAAGACTAGAGATATGACACCTCGAACTTGCCCTCTCTACCTACCTGGGTTGCCGACACGTTACTGCCATCGATCGACCTTTAGGGTTCTTCGTAGACCGTGCTAGGCTTCGTTTACATTTCTTCACCTGACATTTTCGTAACTTACAAACCTAAATAGATGTGTCCCTGAATACTCTCTCGTCCTAATGACACAGAGCTTCAGTGGAATAGGATTTCGGTCGCCATGTACGACGCAGGACCATCTGCTTGCGGCACTATCAATTGTCACCGCACCAGTCACTGGATATCCGAGAGTTTGGTGAACCTGTTGGAATCCATAAAACATCTTCTGGCTGACCCTGAGCACAATATGAACAGACGGGCCATTAGGGGTGAACTAAAGCGGTATCTGCGTGCTTACCGGGAAGCGTGGTGGACCAGTAGGGCTCAAGAGATGGAGGAGGCAGGAGCAGTAGGCAATTACCGCAAGCTCTTCCAGCTGATCCGCACCACTGGTCCCGAGAAACCAGGCGTCAGTGAGACAATGAGAGACAGCGCGGATGCACTGGTGCACAATAAGGAGCGCCGTATGGCTCGTCGGGCGGGACACTTTCAAGATCAGTTCAGTTGGCCCCCTGCTTTCGGACCGCTTTTTACTCAGGTGATGCAGGACGAGCCACGGTCGGTTAGTTTAGAAGCTCCGTCGGAGGCAGAGGTCCGAAACGCGATCACAGCCTTTAATCGGTTCCGTGCTGCTGGTCCGGATTCCCTCCCACCTGCACTAGTTAAGGATGGAGGTGAGGTCCTCCGCAAAGCACTGACCTCCCTGTTCGAACATGTATAGAAGTAAGATAGTGTCCCCGCTAGCTGGAGTGAATCGATCATAGCGGCAGTGTACAAGAAGGGCAGTCGCATCGACTGTGCTAACTACAGGGCTATTAGCCTAACGCCACTTGTGACAAAAGTATTAGCCTCAATTCTCCTTCATCGCCTCATTGAAGAATGGGAGTCCCCGATTAGGAAAGAACAGGCAAGTTTCCGCTCAAAACTTTGTGGTAGGTGCTGGAATAGCACCACGCATACCGCAGACCGACACTACATTTGTTGTTGGATTTCCAGTGTGCGTTCGATTCAGTTGACCGATGCACTGAAAGGTGTTTCCATGACATATGCGAACATCTGACGCGCTCTATACTCGAACACGGCAGGCCGCGTCAGAGTCCACATTGACCTGTCGGAAATCACCTTGGCAACAAGTAGCGTTCGTCGGGGTTGTCCGATTCCCCCATTTTATTCAACTTCGTCATGAACTCCATCATAGACTGTTCCCTTGCGAAATCTCACGATACAGACATTGAGGTACTGCCTGGCGAAAGGCTAGTTGATCTCGATCATGCGGACGATATCGTCTTACTCTAGACTTGCCCCATTATTGGGTATTCGCTTCGCACCTTCAAAGTGTTGCTGCAGGACCACCAGCTACCTGCTGAAACCTTGATCCTTGACTAGGAATTCTAGATAGTTGATCAATTCAGTTGCTTTAGCAGCTTAATCAGCAATGATGAGCGCATAGCAACTGAAGTTGGTTCCTGTATTGCAAAAGCCACAGCTATCTTCCTGAATCCCCAATATCTGTGTCTTCAGAAGCGTGTTCCCCTCCGTCTAAATGGCAGTGTATACAAGGCCACAGTGAGGGCCATCCTACTCTACGGAAGTGAGACGGCCTCTCGGTCTGAAGATCTGAAGCGTCTTCAAGTCTTCCATCATTGCTGGTTTCGAATGGCACCAGCTTGTCCGCAACCATGAGGTACTTAGGCGAGTGATAAGCATTGATACTTAGGCTACATCCGTAGAACATCAGGTGGCACTGGACAAGTTGCGTTGGCTTAGACACGTACTACGTATGCTTGGTCACCGGTCCCCTAGACGAGCCTTGTTTTATCTACCACATATAGGGTGGCGCAAGGATCGAGTTGAACAGAAGTTGACTCGGTAGCGGGAAATGGTCACTGATGACTAAACTCGGTGCCGTCGGTCTGTCTCACCTTCCAGCCTGGAGTCCATGTCACGCGCCTTGTGCTTGGCTTGTGACGTTACAGGACATCGCTCGCAGTCGACAACAATGGCGCTTCTGCTACTGTCTCCTAATCGGTCTACTTGTTTAACCTGCATTTGGTGCTGCGTTATCTACGGGGTAGTGGTTGATTATGACGCGGGTCAGTGAAGGCCGCAAGGAAGCTGTTTCACCGAGGCCGCCTTATCTTTTCACGATTGCCGGCTGTTTGTGACGGTATGTTGTTAACACAAGATGTAGGCGCCTTGACCCTGAGTGTTTGCCTCGGGCATTTAATTTTTCCGTTTAGTCTCCCTTCTTCCCTCTTAGTATTCTTCGTCCATTATGTCGTTCTCGTTGTGTGACAGCGTAGCGGCAGTTCAAATAGTTGTTTACTGCTGTTGCTGATGATAATGATATGTCCCTTGGACTGGGCACTTAGCCACATCGATGTAACGTTCATCTTCCTTTTTGAAGGGAAGCTTTAGTCGTCTGACACCATTTGTCCGACATCTGAGTAATTCGATAACATCTGCGTACCAAAGAGATGCCCATCTAGAGTGTCATTTTTGTTCACCTCTCATCACACACGTTACTTACTACGCATTTCGATGACTATTGCGAGAAAAACAAACCTGTGTTTAATCTACTGCTTGTCACCTCTTGTCTCTTATCTAGATGGGACTACTCGGAGTCGAGACACCGACACACCAGATGAGAGTGGCGTTGGAGAATCGATAATCTCAAACGATTCGCCGGCTGATAGCGGAGCTGGAGTCGTCTCAGCTCCCTCAAGGGTCGCTATTCTCCCAGACGACTTGCGCATTGAGCCTCGTGCTGGGAGAAATCGTTTCGGCTTTTCGGTGAGTGACACATGCATCTACCGCTTCCTCCCAGTTGACTGCAGTCCTTCCCTGCTCAGGCCACTTAGACGCGCAAGTACAATAATCGTTCTGTATATCACACGAGGAGGGCACTTTGACCGGCTTTCCGTCTGTCGTTATGATACTCTTTCTTAGCTCTCTCACACTTTAACTGACTTCATTGTTACTGTGCTGCTGCACTTTGACAGGTTTTGCTATCGAACATGTTTTCCGTCTACTCTGCTCTCATTACTATGTTTTCCAAGGCGAGGTGATTCACTTGTAACGTGGTATTGTCTGAGATTTGCGATCGATTCACGGGGAGCCTTAGACATTTGACTCTGTATATCGGGTTGCCCAATCTTTTTTGTACCTTGCATCTTTTTAGGTTCACCGTGTAATTAATCAGATCGCTTGTTCGTTTACACTACACTTCATTATACTTCCAACTGATTACTTTCCCTTCTCGGAGCGCCTAGTGTGTGTTTTCGCTGCTATGCTTATTCTGCTTCTGGGTTGCCATTCACTTGGATTAAAGAATCGGCCATTCCCATATAAATAAATAAATAAATATATATATATATATATATATATATATATATATGTTTGGCGGCATCCGGTCTCGGATTTGCCTGTCACTGTGGCCAGCCACAGGACACCTGCGCCTACAGAGGGACCATGGGTGGCTTGCGCTGCACCACCCACAGCTCCATCCACACACCCCATATCCAGTGTAAACGCGAAGGAATAAGACCGGGAGGCATGTGGATGGGAGCCACGTTTCATCAACGGAGCCGGCCCACACTCCTTCACAGGCAAACACATGCATGCTGTATTTGGGGAATCAAGCGCGCACAAGGTGGTGGCTGGACCCTTGTCCGCTTCACACTGAGTGCATGGAACCGCTCTTTGAGCCTAGCATGGCTACACGGACCGTGCACCACGTCCTCTCCAGCAACGACCAACTGTCTCCTGGAGCCAGTATGAACGAGGTAGTGGGTAATAGACAGGTAGGCACCCTGTCAACATACACATCAAGCGCAGCCACACCGTGGATATCAAGCAACAGCCATTCACTTTAAACGACAAGCTGAAATAAAATAAATCCAATAATGCATACAGATACGGTGGCATAACTCTTCGCTAACTTAGCAAATGAAGTAACTTGGTTAGCAACGAATCCGCGATAAGGAAAAATGTCCACAAGTTACTTAAAAATGCTAAAAGCGCGACGAAATTATCGAAGATAGGCGCAATTAGTGTAAGCAACGTAGCTAGTTAATAGATTATTTATGTAGGCAGGACAAACCAAATAAAGTGGAATGAAATTTTATCCAACTTAACAAGACCTAGTATAAGTGTAAGTTAGTTTAGCCCAACTGCGGTGAAGAAGCGTCAAGAATGCAACATCAGTCTCAGCATGGGGCACAATGTACCGTCAATGCTCAATGTATCGTCAAGGATCTCTCTCTCTCTCTCTATGTCAGCGACAGAGGCTACTTGGCAAGATAGGCCCACCACCACTCCCAACTTCCCCTGCACCTGATTGTTCACCTAAAAGACGAACAGACTGCTGTAGAGTCCATGTCACCACTCCAAGTGAATCCCAGGCTGAACAATAGACTTCAAATGGGGAGGTGTTAAGACTACCTACTATGGAATAGATCAGTGCGCCCTTTCTCGACCAAAATCCAATCTTTTCCCGGTAAATCAGGGAAATAATGGCGTCTGTTCATCAGAAATACGTTCCCGAGTTATCCTATACCATTATTGGTAAGTAAGGAATGGTAGAAAACATCACATTCATGGTCACCGGCAACACTAACAACGGCAGGCCGCGCTGTGTACTCTTGCTGTAACTTGTGGCCACTGAATTGGTGACCGCAACCCGAAAATCTGACTGCAACTTCCTTTTCTTGATCAACAAATAGGAGCAACCGAGTTCAAAAGAACCGATCCAAACGACACGCCCCGATCTCAGTACTCATCATAAAAATGCTCGTTATTTCTCTTACCCCGCAATAGTATAATGTGAATAATGTTGTTGTCTTCCCCTTTATGTTCCATCACAGGCTTTTCGGTTCTGGTTTATATCATTCCTTACAATTCTGCGCTTTGGTTATGCTCCTTCCTGATACCCTTCCTTTATGTTTGTTTTTTTATCGATGCTCCTCCTAGTTGAATGAACCTCCTTAGTCATTGATTTAGCAAAGCAGCACGCATGGGTTGCCCACCTGATGCATACTGACTGAGATCTTGAGGTTGTCCATGTCCGTGGCACCTGATGCAATTACCCTCGATCCTGAGACTTAGCTCAGCCCTTTTTGTTCATACTTTGCTTCTCACCTTCCTCATCCTCATGCCGCATTGTTTTGCTCAAGACAAGTGACCTTACCGCTGACTAATTGACCTTAACTCTGTCCTCCTTTTGACGACTTTTACATGACTCACGTTTGCTACGCACTACACTCGCGATTGCTCTCGCGTTGCGTTGTGATCATCACTTCCAAGTGGACTACTGCATCAGTAAACACTCTTCATCTGCCACCGATCACTTTTATTCTTTAACCCTGACGATCTCTATGCAGCTGTATGGTCGTGGGCATGGATCACACCGGAGTTGGCAACATTTTGTGTCCATGAGCAGTTTTCCACAATGAGTACCATATTGACATCCGGTGCAAGTTCGTTCCCAGTGCCTTCCCTTAAGCTACGGTTGCTTTACAATGGTTGCACGGTCCCAATTCCCATCACCGAACTTCTACTGATTTTAGGTTTCAGCGCGACTCGCGACGCTGATCTGTGTGCTTTTTCACTCAGCCGTCAACAGTCTTTCGCCCCTCTTTTCCACCCCCGTCTTTCTCAGTGCACCAACTCAAGACGACTATTCTGATCATAGCTACGCCCCATTTTGCTTCGTTTTTTCCGCATTTGTTTGCCCAACTTCAGTCCACTTCAACTTCATCTGTCAATTAGTACATCTTCAACTGCTTTTTAGGGTCTTAAACGTTTTTCCCTCGACTTTTTGAACCACCTACACGTTACTTACCGCATACCGTTCCGTTTTCTCAAGTGCACCCACCGTCATCACCCAAACACATCGTTTCCGGTGACGGTGTGTGTGGGGGGGGGGGCTAGATATTTTAACCTTTCAGTCCTAAAGCAGCTTGGCTGTTGTGATGTGAAGTGCCATTTATAGCCAATAACTGGCAGTTGCTATGTCGCCTTAGCTACCAGTGATGTCCAGTAAATAGTACCCAGTACGTTTTCAGGTGATGGAGCACTGCGTCCGTGCTCGATCCTTCGCTTTACTTCGCTTTACTTGGCGTCTTTCCAGCTGTTTTCCCTT